CTAGGCAGCAATAATTTGTGGTAACTACAATTCTTTTTTTTTTTCAATTAAATAACGCGACTTGATATTATTAAGAGGTGGTCGGTGATCTTGGAACATCACGTCCAGCAAGTCATGTATTCACTATTTTTTATAAGAAATCAACAATTCATTTAGATAAATAAAGAATAGTTATATATTATATTATAAAAATATTTGTAATATTAAATAATTATATTAATAACGTATATATCTAACTATATTTACTTATACATATAGTTAATATATGTGTTTTACTAACACAAATTTACTAATAAAAAAACATGTCTATATCTCTTATATGTCAAAGTTGAATTGGAAGGCGAATGAGTTCAACCTTTGTTTCTCTTAAGTATAACTATAATTCGATTTGTCTATTCTTAAATTTTAGGTGTGAGAGAGAAATCACAATGAAAATTGGGTACAGTAGAAGGGAATCTCAGCTCGACAATTTTTTCTATTGTTTGTCATTCAGGAAGGGCAACAGTACCATCAATTGAATTGTGTCTAGAGAACGCTGATCATAGAGACCCACTTAGCCACTCTCCTTGACTCAACCCACAAAACTGTTCTTTACCAATTTCCCAAAGGCCCAATACTCCATTATTTAGTAAGTTCTTATAAAAATTATAGATATTTAATTTTCATTATGGAGAAGGGTGTTATGAAGAAAAATCTCTCGCCCAAGTCATATCCATAAGAAATTATGACTTATTAGATTAATTGTTACGCCTACCTAATCGATTTGTTTTCTGTGTTTATATAAAGCAAATGTGGTCGTAGTCACTGTCTTTAATGCCAATTTCTTTTTCTTTTCTTTACTTTTCTCCCTTTTTCTTCCAAAAGAAAAAGAACAACCCACTTCTATATATTATGTAGGTATAATTTTTTGGATTATTCTCCCTGGTTTGTTCCTACTTCCTTATAGAATTCGACTTTTCCTTGCGCTTGTCACAATTTTCTTTTAGTAAGTAATATGGCCAAGGACCAAATAAGCTGCATTGAAATTGTATGCGCCTGTTACATGTTGGCATTATTAAAAAGATTGACTATGACCAATCCAAGAACCGATCATGTGTAAAAAAATACCAATGTCTTTCTTTTGCACCCAAAAATACTGCTTTCTTTCTTTCTTTCTTTTTAATATTAAAGAACAAGAAAAATCTTGCTTCCTACGTAAAGCAGATACCCTGGATTAGACTAAGAAGTAGTACAAAACCCATGTTGAGATTTGGGGCACTTCATTTTTTTTTAGTCCGAGAGATTATTTATGAAGTTATAAAAAGTCCATATGTTAGGGAAAATTTAGAGCGTGATTTATGATAAGTGCACGAGTCTAATGAAAGATGTCAAGACAGTGACATTAAACTGTCATGGGATTTTCTGGACGATAGTTGCGCATGCTAGAAAACAATGTGATAATGGCCAGATTTATCGATTATAGTGAAGATAATTGTCGGAAAAAGAACATGCATACATGTCCAGAACACGGAGAGAATGAGCGCCAAATGTAATGTTAGTTATGAGATGAGAGCATTAATAAGATAATAATGTTAGTTATGATTTGATTTTAATCCCAAAACTTTGTTGCCGAACTATGGTTAATCAAATGCAACATCTAACTATTTGGCGCTTCATTAGAGATAAAGGTGATCTCAATTCTTTTCAGATGAGGCATTTTATCTGATAAAAGAAAGATTATTCAAACTTATCAGATATATTTTGACTATATTATTAACATTTAGAACATTTTAACAAAAGCAACAAAACCTTGTATTGCCACAAAATAACAGCGAACTTTCATTAGATCATTGATTTATCAAATCGTATTAAGCTGATGGAACAAAACATATATGCCTATATTCGTAGTTTGCTTGCACTTACATAAAGCCCTCAAAAATTCCCAAAATAGCATATAAGTTTGATATAAACAGAGATCTTTTTAGTTGGTTGTTCCCTGAGCTGCAATTAAGAAATAATTGGAGCCAATTTATTCGATGTGTTAAATGCTATAGGAGGATGGTTATGATTTATAGGCCACCAACGCTTGTATATTCAATTACTATGCCATATCATATAAGCTAAAATTTTATAGATTTTTCACTCATATAGGCTTGGACACAAGAACTCCTTGGCGGTCCCCCTTCAGCACATGCTTGAACAAATGGAATTTTTCATGATGATAATAATCAATAGTCCACCATTATTTACCAGAGTTCCTTATTCCTATACTATATCATACTACCATCGAAATTTTGACATCTGGTTCCAAATATCTAAGCAACCACGAAAAGTCGAAAAGTGACACAACATGTTGTAATATGTCAGAACTATCAACGATAGTTTTGTTTTTTTAAGAAGAAAAAAAACATCCAAAGAGATACCGATGGGCCTTGAAAGGAACAAGAAGAGAGGAGTCAAAAGAACTAAAAAAAAAAAGGGACAAAACACTTCAAATTCATACACTCGTCATTTATACTCTGCAATTTAATCATTTTTAACTAAATTTATCTCTAAAATTCTTCTCCTAAACCTACTCAATTTCTGATTTCTGCATGAAAGCTAGCATTACACATGTATGTAACAAGCTTATGATCATAGACAGTTTTAGACAAAATATATTTAGATAAAATATATGTTTTCAATCTATAAATATGATTCAATGTAATTTGAATCATCTGAAAAATGTGTCATCGGTGTTAGTCTTTATAAATTTTAATTTATAAAACTAATATCTTCCATCACTTAATAATACCATAAAGTGCGTCTAATAATGTTACTTTTAAATAATCATTAACGTGATATAATTAAATATATGACATCAACATTAATTCAGTAACGACAAATATTTTTTAAAATTTATAAAAAAAACAAAATTTAAATAAAAAATATTAAAGGATCAATACTAAATGAAGTCGTGTATGTATAAAAACTAAAAATATATTTAAACTAAAATAATTCTACCTATCTTCTTGCATTGATCATTATAATCTCGAGCATCTCTCTTCAAAAATCGTAAACTTAGAAACGTGACAAAAACTTTTAAGACAAAGGTTTGCTATGGGGACCTTTTAAAAACGAAAGCTATCCCACCATGCAACTGGGTCCAATTTATCTCTACGTGATCCACAGTATATTCTTCTCCCAAGGATGCCTCAAGTGGCCACCACGAACATAGCTGGCTCTGTGAGAACTTGTCTGCCTCCACTTTCACGTTCATATCTTGTTGGAAAAGTTCCAACCCTTCATTATGATTTCAATGACCAACTTTGTTAAATACTTTGCAACATTGCCAACAATTATCCGACCTTTCCCTTTACTATCATACATTGTTAGATTGTCACATCAACCCTTGTTTGATTTGTTAACATTTAACAATACAGCAATAAAAACAAATGATAATTTTTATAGATTAGTAAGAGTATGTAATAAAGTTGTAGGGAGGTATTAGTTACTGTGTAATACAAATTAGGTAACATTCTATTATAATTTGGATTCAGTAAAATGATAATGACTGTTAGTAGTCAAATAAATAATAATATGTTCTATTTGATAATAGAGAATATTAGTGGTAGTGGCAGGGCACTATTGATCTTCATATACAAGAGAGGTTGAGCGACATACACTTGGTATTTTCCTCATTTTTGTTTTTTTAGTTGAAATTTATCATTAATTTTGAAATTAGATTTAAATAGTTATAGATTCACGTTTATTTTAATATTATTAGTTAATTTTTTTACTCTAAATTCACTCATTTTCTAATGTGTTTTCAAATACACTATCATTCTGTGTTTTATTTTTGGTCAACAAGTTTTTGAGATGTTTTGCGTTAATCCAGATGATTCATCATACAAGTCCAAGCCCATGTTCTTGCCCACGAGGTCCTTTTGTCATTGTCGATTGCCAAACAAGCGCCAATGTTTGGCTTGTGGTTCATTGGGCCTGGCTCGTTTGTATATTTTATCTTTGAGAAAGGTTATAATCTTCTTGACCAAATATGGGTTTGTATCTTTGTTTTTTTTCAGTTCCTCTCACATTAGTTGACCAATAAAAGAAGTTCCTCTCACATCAGTTAAACTAATCTAATGACTTTATGAAGAAAAAAAAAAAAAGGCCCATTGACTTTGACTGGTGAGAAAGGAAAGACTTTGACCAAACCAAAAAATTTAATATATGGATCAGTTCCTAGTAACATCAATTCTTTCCCATAAATGATTTAGACACAAAGCAAAATCAACCAAAATATCTTGTACTTTCTGGTTGCTAGTCATTCCCCGGAAGAGTAGAGGGATCTCCATTGCCCGTGCTACTGCCTCCAACCTCTTAGAGTAAGTGGAAATTCCATTCACTTTTCATCTTTATATTCCGTACCATTTTCACGTGAAATATCTTCCTTTTATCCACACTTCCTACTGAATTATGGTCTGCTAGCAAATTTGTTTGTGCTTCACATAACGCCCAAGTTAGATCTGTGATGATAATGAGGGTGTTTAACAATTTAATTAATATAGAAAGCAGATTAAAATGATAGAAAAAGTAAACAACCAAACCCGTTTAGCCTTGCCTTCTAGGGCGTAGAAATTGATTTTGCTTTACTACAATGCTAGAGATACCGCAAGCTTTCTTTTCTTTTCCATCAATATGCATACTGGTCCAGAAATATACTTAATTTTCTCTAATTTGGACCTATTTTCTGTTAAAGTTGTATCCGTCTCACGTTATGATCATTTTCAATTGTCATATATATATTCTGTTCCATTTTTTTATGAAGATTTGTCTAGATCAAATTAAAACTGAAGGCATAATTCCCTTGGATTTATATGAAAATTCGTTTCATATACATTGTAGTTCATTTTGATTTGTTGTGCAAAAATTACAACCAGATCGTGTTTCATGGTCACAAGAACGAAACATGATTAGATAATTTTTTTCTATCCAATAAAATTGTCCTATGTATTTCTCTTATGTAATATCAGTATATGGTATAACATATTGTTGTCTATTTGATTGTCTTGACATGCATTAAAGATAGTATAAGGTAAGAGTTTATTCTATTTTTATCTTATCATATCATTTTTTAACTCTCATATTCTAATCCTTTATATTATCATGATTACCAAATGGAACGTAAGTGTTGGGATGATTGTCTTTCAGGTTACATTTGTTTACATGGCAGACGGACCCCCATCCCCAGAGACAGTGTGTTGCTGGGATGTCTATAGACTTGTTTCTTCAGAGGACCAATTTCGGACTATTGTTTCCATGGACGCTAGTCGTGTCAAGAAACTAAAGAAGAAGCTGATTTCAAGACGAGATCATTTGAGGCAAAGAGTTGAAGAGATTAATGGAAGAGAAAGGGTCAGTGATGAAGTTTGGGAGTGGCTAAAAGACGTGGAGAAACTCCTACAAAAGGTGGAGGATCTAGAAACAGACACATTAACTCATAGCAATTGTTGTTTCCTTTGCACTGTGCCTAAGGTAAAGGTTCCTAAGTCTGCCAGAGAGAGGCGTATGACATGGTGGAATTATAACAAAATGCTTAAGGAAATGAAGTTGAATGACGAGCGTAAATTTGAGTCAATTTTCACACCAATTCCTAGTTTGGAGCACTTTGCTTCGAGAGATTTTATGTGTTTTGAGTCCACAAAAGAAGCTTCAGATCAACTTTTGGAGGCACTGAATGATGGTAGTAGCTATATGATTGGATTGTATGGGAAGCGAGGTTCGGGTAAAACAACATTGGTGAAAGCAATGGGAGTGAAATCGAAGTATTTAAGGATTTTTGATGTAGTTTTGTTTGCAACCGTTTCAAAAAATCCATATGTTAGGATGATTCAAAATGAAATTGCTGAACCATTGAATCTAAGATTTGAGAGAGATGCTGAAGTAGGAAGAGCAAAAACAATATATTCTACATTGGAAAGTATTGGTAAGGTTCTTGTGATATTGGATGATGTTAGGGAAAAGCTTGAACTAGAGAATATAGGTATTAATCCTTGTAATGCTAATAAGTGCAAGGTACTTTTGACCACACGTCATAGACAAGAATGTGCCTTGATGAATTGTCAAAGGGTGATTAATTTGGGTCCCTTATCTAAGGAGGAAACTTGGACATTGCTCAAAAAGCATTCAAGCATAGATGATGATGAGTCATCATCTGACCTAGAAAACGTGGCACGTGAAGTTGCTAATGAATGTAAAGGGTTACCTGGTGCAATTAAAGATGTAGTGTATTGTTTAAAAAGTAAATCCATTGAGGAGTGGAGAGCATTATTAGATAGCATGAGACATTCAATAGCAAGGAACCAAATTTTTCTTAGTTTTAGAGGAGAAGATACTCGTTACTCTTTTACAGGTTCTCTTTACCATGCTTTGTGTTATGGAGGGTTCAAGACTTTCATGGATGAAGAATTGAGGAGTGGAGACCAAATTTCACTAACTATTCTTAAAGCAATTGAGGAATCAAGGCTTTCAATTATTGTTTTATCTGAAAACTACGCAGATTCCTCTTGGTGCCTTGATGAACTTGTCAAGATCCTCGAGTGCATGAAGATGTATAATCAAATGGTTTGGCCAATCTTTTACAAAGTGGAACCCTCGGACATAAGGATTCAGAAAAATAGTTATGGTAAAGCCTTGGATAAACATGTTAAAAGATATGGAAATGATTCTCAGAAAATACAGAAATGGAGATCAGCTTTGTTTGAAATTGCTAACTTGTCAGGAAAGACTTTCAAAACTGGGTATGTAGTATGCTTTCAAATAATTATATTTTTATTAGACGTGTTATTATGTTGTTCAAGTTTTGGTCAGGCTTAATTTTATATGCTTTTTTAAACTAAATTATGACTAATAGGAATAAGACAAGAAATATGTGCATAAAAAAATCAATCATAATATTTTCATATTTGCTTTTTAGCATATTACTTGTTACATCTCCATTTTTTCTCTACTTTGTATTTTGCTCTTTCTTATGTCTATTTCACATTTAGTAAGGGATGGTGACAATATTGTTATAAATAAATTGAAGACCTTGTATTTTTGCAGGTACGAATATGAATATAAATTTATCCAAAAGATCGTAGAAGATGCCAATAATATCAAAAGTCACTTGCATATACAAATGACAGATGTGGATTAGAAGGATCTCTCTTGTAGACAGCAGTAAGCGTCACACCAATTAATGTTGTAATGTGAAGGGAAATTGTTCTTAGACATAATAATAGTTACTCGTAAATAACAAATTAGTTGGGGAAGAGTCTTTTGAAGGGAATGTGAGCTCGTTTTTAGAATAACCAATTAATAATAGGATAAATATTAGTGTATACTTCAATTTTTAAGCATATCAGGTGGAAAGAAGTGAAAAGATAAAAATTTAAAGAACAAAATAAGAAATATAATCAGTGATCTGGTAATTAAAAAACAAAGAGAGAAAATTCAAAATAAGAGAATTTTTTTAAAAAATATCTATTTGTTTGTTTAGACGAGTACAAAATAATAATTAAATTATATTAAAAATAATTATAAAAATTTTAAATAAAATCAAAAAAATTATTTTAAAATTTATATAAATATTAAATAAAAACAAAAAATTCCCACCTCTCTTCCCTCTAAGTTTCTAGGCTTTGTTGGTCCGTCTTTCTAAATATTTCTCTTTTTCCTCTTTCTTATTTTCATCCAAATACCTAAACTTATTTAGTTCCTCCTTATTATTTATAAAAATGTGTTTAAATTAATATAAATTTCTAAAATTAATTTTTGTAAAAGTAAATTCAAAGTAATATAATTTCTATTTAAATAGTTGTTTTGGCAAATATGATTATTTATATATACTCGTAATTGCTTTTGGGTGTAAAATTGACAAATTAGACTTTTTTAGGGTTATGTATAATTATTTATGTAGACTTGTGCTATAACAATCTATTTTTGATGTATTCATTAAAAAAAAATTAAATATGTATGCAAAAAAATAATTTATATTAATTGAATAAAAAAATAAAATACATGCACAATATTTTAACTTTTGCAAGAGAACAGATACAAGCTGGTTCAGGGGACATGTTAATGTTATTCTATAAAATATGTATTTCAAACTGGAATTTCTTGAAATTAAAGCATAACTTTTTCATGTTTGTAGGAGAGGTAAAATACAAGATAAATGAAATATACAGTTTATTTAAACACTTATTTATTTTTTTAAATAATAATTTGTTATAAATTGAATAATAAACCTTATTAAAAATAAATTATTTTAATAAATTATATTAAAAAATTATTAAAATAAGCTAAAATTTATAATTTTTTCCAGACAAATTCTAAATCCAAACTACTTGTAATAGCTTCTACTCACATGTGCATTAATTGGAATCGAATTACGTCAACTCAATCATTCAATACATTGCACTCGCATTAATTTTTTTTGAACGAGCATTAATTTCAAACTTAACAACGTGATTTTAAACTTACACTTTGCCATTGTGTGAGTTATAAATTTTAAAAGAAACAACTAAAGATTTATGCTCTGAGTTTCCTACAAAAACCATTGAACAATTATATCATCTCAATCATCAATAAGATGCAATAAACGATTAAATTTTCATTTATTTTGAACTGAGATTAAATTAATCTTAAATCATTAAACTTAATCAAGAAATATGTTCAAATTAATTTCATCTATAAATTTCACGTTAAAATGTGTAAGTAATAAAGTAATCACTATTATAAAAGTAACAAATAAGTCGTAATTATCTTCCACCCATTATTCAGATTTAATACATTGGAAGGGCGTGTGTGGAGTGCCTTGACATCTTTAGATTTTTATACGAGAAGTACATTAAATTAGTTCTTGAAAATATGTTAATTAAAGTATAACGTTCAAATATCAATATATTAAATTTTACAATATTTTTATTTTTAATAAAAATTTACTATACATAAGTTCTTACTATATATTTACCAATTATATGTAATACTCCTTTTATACATTTGCCAACATTTAATTAATACGACTCAAATCTAAAATATTGATTTAAATCTTTACTTACTTACGTATTCATTTTGACTATAAGGCGCAACATGTTGAATTTGTTTGCCGCCTCTATATGTGAAAACAAGAAACACCTATCATATGAAAACTCATACCAGCTTTTATCCATGGCGTGTTCAACTTAGAATATTATTTCTGCGGGTCTCCAATTTGGACTCCCACTTTATAAAGTCGTGAAAAGCAACGCTTTGTAAATCCTTGTCATATCCACTCCTAATTTTGCTTCGCTAATATCAACTTTGTACAGTGAGGTCAATTTGGTCACCTTATTCTCTTAATAAGGTTTTGATCATAACTCCAAGTTGCTAACTGTATAGTACACAAGGAGTCTATAAAGATAGCATCAACGAGATCCTCGATCAAATTGACTTTGCTTCATATGGTAAAAAGGTACTATTGGGTTCTTTTATAATGTTATTTTGGCTTCAATATTGATCACTCTACATACTCATTCTATGGACCTTTTGCAGGGGAGAGGATGGGTACTCTGCTTCCAACCTTATCCAATGAAACATCAGAGAATCCAAATGCTTTGCAACATATTCCAAATCAAAAAGATGTTGACGCAGGTGCTCTGTTTGTCCTCAAATCAAAAGGTACTTAAGTGTTTATTATAAATTATAAATTTTAATGATACAAATTTTAATGCAATTATAAGGTACTTATTAACTTTTTATTATTAATTTCTTATTGTGTGATTTAGACATTCATTAAAAAACCTGTATGGTATATCCTTCTTAAGCCTCCTCCTCCTCCTCCTTCTTCCATCTTTATCCTTCTTTTATGAAACTTTATAAGCCTATGATTTTTGTCCCTCTCTCTCTCCCTTGTGAGTTGACAGAAAGACAAGGAAATATAAGCATGGATGAAGGCTTTCATCAAAAAGCTGTGTATGCTCAAGGAATGAACTCGTTTCTTCTTGTTTCCAAACCTTCCACCAATACCACCATAAGCATTATAGAAAGGAATATGAGCACTACTACAGTGTACCTTTTTATGTCATGATATATAAGTGGTAATTTAGTGGGGCTTTCGTGGTTTTAATCAAAAGAATGATGTCATTGTTGAATGTTCTCCCTTCTGACTTCATTGAAAAGAAAAATTGATGCAATTTTGTCTGGCTTTGTTTCAATAATTGGAGCACATGTTATGGGTAGCAAGCAAGTTTTCAATATAAAAAACAAATTTGTATTGTTGACAGATTGGTTACCACCTATCATATTACATGTTGTTTTGAATGGTAGGTTCTTGGATGCATTGTGGTTACCACCTGACAACGTCAATAGTGGCACCACCACTGCTGAGTCTTCCTTATGCTTTCACCTTCCTTGGATGGACGGTTGGGATCTTCTGCTTAGTAATTGGAGCTCTTGTCACTTTCTATTCCTACAATTTAATATCTCGCGTTCTTGAACATCACGCTCAATTGGGTAATCGCCAGCTACGATTTAGGGACATGGCTCGCGATATTTTAGGTACTTTCGTTTGCCAATTATCGCATTGCATCCCTCAATAATATGTTAGTATTTCTTTAGTGCATGTTGTGAGCACTCTTCCACGTGAAAAATCAATAATTCCATGTCATTATAGTTTGTGGTTATAATTAACACACACAGACACACACTATCTATATATCTTTCCATTTACAAGATGAAACAAAAGATATATAGGCATTGGGCAGATATTTACGATAAACTAAAGTTTTTGAAAAATGCAAACTAAATTTTAGTGAAAATATTAATCTGTTAGATAAATAAATTATGCTCGTTTTATATTTAATAATTTAGGCTTAAACCTTATCAAACCTAACTTGTTTCTACAAGCAATAATAATGCCTTGCAACCAAATTAGGTTAAGTTTGATAGATTGACCAAATAATAACTTGGCAAAATGTGAAGGTTGAGCTAGGAATATCAAAAATTAGAATAATTCATGTTGACATACGTTGAATGCTAATTAACGCTAGAGTCCATGGGTGCCATTGATACTGTTTGTTCAAAGTAGACTTTGTATATGGGAAACCCAAATACGACTGTGATAGAATTTGATAGAAGGATTACAACCATACATAACATAACATATAAACTGTTATATATTTGTATTTTAAGATAGAACAAAATTATACCTAAGAATAAAAAACATATATTTTAATTTCAAAGAAAAGATAAAAGCAAGAGGAACAAAATATATTTTTTGTTCTCTATATCCCCCTTCTTCTTTTTTTGGTGAATTGTTCTATATATCCATTCACCAAACATTTTAGATGTAAACCTTTTAGTTTTGTAACCTCTAGGCCCATATCATGTGGGCCAGTTCAAGCTTACAGCTAATGTAAATCTTTGGCAGGTCCACGATGGGGTCGCTATTTTGTGGGGCCAATTCAATTCGCTGTCTGCTACGGAGCTGTAGTGGCTTGTACCCTTTTGGGAGGACAATGCATGAAGGTTATCTTCAAACCTTCCTTGACCAAAAATAAAATATTCAAATTGACCAAAAAATGTTCATCAAATATAGTTTACCAAAAATAAAAATTGTTCATTTTATCATAATTTTAATCAATTTAATTTTTTAAACAATCCAACAGTATCAACACCTGTTTAATAATTTTCATTTTAATACTTGGTTGTTTAATCAAATATTATAACTCTAAACTCATTGTTTGTTAACACTAAGGACTTTAGAAAAATCAAATTGACCTCCAAGATGTTCATACCCTTCTATGTTTTTTCTAACTGAATTAAATGCAGGCAATTTACCTGCTGTCAAACCCAAATGGGACCATGAAGCTTTACGAGTTTGTAATCATATTTGGATGCTTCATGCTGATTTTGGCTCAAACCCCATCTTTCCATTCATTGAGACACATTAATCTAGTGTCTTTGGTTCTGTCCTTAGCCTATAGTGCCTGTGCTACTGTTGGTTCCATATACATTGGTAATTTGCTCAGTCTTCTTTCCCACTTTGGTAACTCAGCAATTTCAGTTTATGTTTATGAATTTGCACTTTATTACTTCAGGAGACTCATCAAAAGGACCAGAAAAGGATTATTCGTTGAAAGGTAATTCAGTGAATCGCTTATTTGGAGTCTTCAATGCCGTTGCCATCATTGCCACCACTTATGGAAATGGAATAATACCAGAAATTCAGGTCTGAAGCAGCTCAACTTCCCTCTCATTTCGTTCACTTAATGCACAAAGCATTAACTTATTCTTTGTAATTAAAAATAAATCATTTTTAATATGCTTAGTTAAATAGCTAGTCCTTACAAAAATTGCACAATTTAAATTTAATTTTTATAAATATTTTATTTAAAAGTTAACATTTGATGAAACATTTTATATATTTTTTTAAACATATTATATATAAGTTTTTATCTACATCATTCGATACACGTTAGAAAATTTGTAAAAAATAATTTACTTGTTTAGTGCTTAATTTAATTACCTTCTTGCAGGCAACATTAGCACCACCCGTGAAAGGGAAAATGTTCAAGGGACTATGTGTTTGTTATGCTGTACTTATTTTAACTTTCTTTAGCGTATCTGTGTCTGGTTACTGGGCATTTGGCAACGAATCTGAAAGCCTCATCTTAAGCAACTTCGTGGATAATGGGAAGCCTCTAGTCCCCAGGTGGTTTATCTATATGACCAACATTTTCACTATAGCACAATTATCAGCAGTTGGTGTGGTAAGTAATACACTTAACATTCACATCACCACCACCTGATCTCAGAATCAGTGATTCTTGGATTTAGTTTATTTTCAAAAAATAGTTATTTAAGATAGTAATAGTAATTTCATGTTTAAATTTTCAATATATGTAATCTCATCATAATAGTCAAGATTAAAATATAGTAAAATTAATCTATTTACTCTTCTCACTCACGTTCCTGTTAGACAAACATCAAATATATCCTTCGTAATCAATAAAGAAAAGTTGAGTCAACCATTGAATTTGAAAGCAGGTTTATTTGCAACCTACAAATGAAGTGCTAGAGCAAACTTTTGGAGACCCAGAAAGCCCAGAATTTTCGAAGCGAAATATAATCCCGAGAGTGATTTCACGGTCATTAGCTATGACTGTTGCAACCATTGTAGCAGCCATGCTTCCATTTTTTGGAGACATAAACTCGCTTATGGGAGCGTTCGGTTTTATCCCACTTGACTTTATTCTGCCGGTGGTTTTCTACAATTTGACATTTAAGCCATCTAAGCGAAGCCTAATTTTCTGGTTGAATGTGACCATTGCTGTGGTTTTCTCCGCATTTGGAGCTATAGCATCCATTGCAGCAGTTAGACAGATAGTTCTTGATGCCAAAAATTACCGATTATTTGCAAATGTATGACATAAGCCGTGTGATGAATTTTAGAATTGGTTGTTCTATATTTTAATTTCATAGTTCATATCATTTTTCCCCAATAATGTTGTATATTATACTATTTATGATCTTGTCTATATAGAAAAAACAAGTATGAATTTTTTTATTTAAAGTATAAAAGATAAAAGCTCATTTTTAAATATATAAATTATTAAATTTTTTATACCTTTATTTATTATTAAAAATTAATATTAACGATATAATCATTATTTATTTATATTAATAAATAAATATTTTATTTTATTTAAATGACACAATTTATGAAATATAATATAAATTTATGATATATAATGGTATTTTATTAATCTTAAATAATCAATCTTTATTTCTTATAAATATGACTATAAATTTTTTTTATACAACTAATGTTTTACATATTTTATTATAAACTTTAAATATTTTTATTTTGTAAGAAAATCTTAAATGTTTTTCTACTGCTTGTTATATTTTGACTTAATTATATTTTTTGGTTTCTGTAATTTAATTTATGTGTGATTTTAATTTTTATAATTTTAACTGCTTGAATTTTTTTTTTAATTATTAATTATTTAAATTAAATTGGTTATATTAAAATATCATCTAATAATTAACAACAATAAATTACTTATAATTATTTTTTTATATGAATTAGTGAAATATATATTATTTAAATAAAAATAGTAACTATAATATTAAAAATATTCATTTTTTATTAAATAATGTACAGATTTTTTAAAAATATGTATAAATTAATAATATATTACATTTTTATTATATTTTTAATTATTTAATAAAATTTTGTGGTGAATTTTAATTTAAATAATTGAACAATAATAATAACATTAATGTGAAACTTTAAAAATAAAAAAATAACATGTTAGTAAAAATATAGAGACTAACTATACAATTATAAATAATTAAATTATTGTAATCTTATTAAAAAGTTCTAAAAAGTTGTCTAACCAATTGTCCGTTACGAGCTTCTTTAAAGTACAGAAAGGCGTGAAGTGAGAAAATAGAGTTTTATCTGCTGAATTGATTAAAATATAAATATAATTAACTTAAAATCATGTACTCTTTCACTTTACACATTTTTTCATTTTAAAGAAGTTTGGATCCTAGTAGGCATTGAAAAAAAAAAGTTTTATTAAATGTCGCGTAGCAACTTAATACGAATAGATTATTATTAATTTTTCTTTTCTTTTTATGTCTAAAAAAATTAAATGTGCTCACTTTACGTAAAAAATTTTAAATAAACAAATTTTAAATGAGTTATTTAAATATATTATTATATGACAGTAAAAAAGAGCTTGTTTACCTTGCTATTGAAAAGGTAATTTTCATAATTTTAACCCAAAAAAAATGATTGAAAATAATTTAATACATATCTTTTTTTTGTCGTGTACATATCTTAAGTTTAAAATTATTTTTATTAAACTTCAAAATAACTGGGCCTAAAACTAGAAGGGGTTCGGGTAACTTGACTCGTTTTTAAAATAAAAAAGTTAAGTAGTTAAGTTGGGTTGAGTTTTAAAATATATATGAAATACTCGTCATAATTTTACATGTTTAAAAATAATAAAAATATATATTTATATATTAGTCTTATGAAATACTCATCATAATTTTATATGAATTTATTTTTCAAAATATTGTTAGTAAATTTTTTTTATATTGTTAACCAATTATATTATACTATAACTATAATATTTTTAATTATTATAAAAATTAAAAATTATTACTGATTTAAAATCATAATTTAGATGATAATATAAAACATTTTTACATTGGCGTAAATTTAAATTAATTTTTTTATGTAATCCAGTAACTTAATGAAAGGATTTCATAAAAATTGTTGGAAGTAAAACATTTTTAATTTATAGTTTTATATTGATAATCATTTATAATGGCACAAATATTTGATAAATACATCAGTTAAAATGCTAATAAATAGTGTTTGTCTTAAGTTTTTATTTTCAATCAAAATCAACCCAAGATTAGAGAGATATCCTTAATCTAAAATGTAAATTAAAGACTTCGTGCAAAATGAATAAGTAGAAAAAATAAAAAATAAACTCGTTTTTATAAATAAAATATTTTTTAAAATAATAAAATATTAAATGTCATTTAAATTTTTTTAAGTTATCTATAAATTTTATGTGTAAAATCAATAATTTTTAAATTAAAAATTTTACATTAACTCAATCTATTAAATTTTATAGTTGTTTTTGTTTTTTGTGTGCAGCGCCTTAAAAGTATGTGACTCATTTTAACTCATTTACTCAAGAAAAATAAGTCGATTAATGTTGTGAAGGTTATTTATTGGTGAGAAGAGAAAATAAATTTAAAAATACTATAATTTTATTATTTGAATGGATAAAATAAAGATGAAGACAAAATATTTTTTATTTGGATGAATGAAAAAAAATTAAGATGATAATAAATTTCATGTAAAGATATTTTACATGTTACAATATTTATTATATTATTTTTATATAAAATATAATTTTTCTATTATGATATATTTTAAAGTTGTGTCCAAACAAAACTAAAAGAAAAAAGGTAAAATGGAAAGTGTAGCTTTTGATCTCGATTCACGCAAGTTTTCAGGCAAACGAGCAAAGAAAATAATGAAGGTGGATCCCACAACACGTTTTTTTTCTTTCAGTTTATAAAACGACAAACCATTCAATCGAAGAAAGTTAACTTTTTCGATCCGGTTTTAGTCGAGGCTAATTCCTTCCATTCATTTTCGATCAAAACAAACAGAGTGTTAGTATTTGATTGATCATATACTACAACCACTTCTTCTTACCGTCAGACACACATTTTAATGTAAAATCTATGATGAAGATTAATTTGAATACTCATTTTAATTACATTTAACGACTTATAATTAATTTTATCAAGGCAACCTTGCAAGGCACTGGAGAATAATACATAAATATCCATTTGCATGCTACTCGGTCTTTTACAAATCAAACAAATACTTGTATTCTCACTTGCATGCTATTTGATACTTCAGGTTTTCTACCCAAGCTTAAAGAACAAACATGAGTATTTGGTTTTTCTCTGTTGTTCAACAATTCATCTAACGGGTTTCACGAATGAGTTTATTCCACTATGATATGGCCATATATGGCACACTAAAATAATACAATGTTAGTAGTTGAAAATTAATTATATCAAATAACCATCCCACAAAGTTGGTAAATGACTAAATATAGACATTTCTCTAAAAACAAGTCCTAAGTAATATTGCCAATCGCTTTACTATCAGGTGTTCACGCCACGGCCTACCTAACAAACATAATACTTATTTATGAAACAAAGCATGAAATAACAGCTGAATGTATCATATAGATATAGTCAAAAGGAAAAATAAAATTACAGCACCTGCAGTTGTCCCTTTTCAGTTACTGTGATCACTAACAAGTTCAGAATTCACCACCACATATGAGAACTAGAGGAATTTTTTTTTTAATAAAGCTAGACACTATAAAAAGTTAACCTCTATCATGAGCAAGAAAAAATAAATTTGTTCTCTACAACTGAAAGCATATGAAAGAGGCTCATGTTGATAACTTCACATCTTTGTGACACTTGCATCAGTATCAGCAGAAGTTCCTTTGTCTGTGATAGGTTGATGGATGTGACATTCCAAGTCAACACCATTAACAGAGGCAGAGTGCATGTTGTCATCAGCAGGAATAACATTATCAGCCACTTCATTAGTTGTTGCAGAATTGACATTTTCAACTATGTCATTAGTTGTTTCTGTTGGACCATGTTCTGATTTTGGTGAAGGGCTACTCTGGACACCTTCCATCAACTTCTGAACCTTTGGGGGATCCCTTTCTAAATCTGGAATGTCTGGCATGTTGGGAGCATTGGAAGATTCAGGTAAGAGTCTTTTCTTGATTTGATTGCTTATGTTTTGCTTGAAAGTGGCCATGACAAGCTGATGAATAGAAAGAGAGACTTATAGTAAGTTATTCAATGGTTTTCAATGCAACATTGCAACACAACAATCAATTACAAATAAAGGAAAATATTATTCAGTATTCTTAAGACGTTGGTTAAGGAATCAAATTGCGATTCTCTCATAAATTTTAATAAAAATTTTCAATTTATTAATTTTTTAACCAATGTCTTTAGAATACTAATTAACAAGTTAACATGACCAATAAATAAAATATATTACATAAAAAAATTCAACTTCCTGGTCAACTAAAAAGCACGGAAATAATTGTCATTATGTTTGAGCAACAGTAACTTACTGCAAGTAGACATTTAATTATACTCCTATAGAGTAAAGAATCTTTCAGTATAAGGATGGGATGACAATAAGTATAATTTGATCTATGCATGTCAATATGGATTTTTTTTTCTAAATGTGAAGGATCTTCAAGTACTTCCTGAAAGACAAACCCTGTGGGTTCTCCAATGTCCCATGAAGGCTATCAATCATCAAAAGTTACATCCAATTCCAAAAATGAGTACAATGGCTTCACAATAGTTCATCTAGCTTTCACACAGGGTTTATCGCCATCCAAATAGCAAATATATCTTTCATATGCATTATATGTGCCAGTATATGTACAACATAACTATTATGATATTTAACTCGTGAGTAATTCATTTGAATCATCTTTCAAATTTGTTTTGAAAACAACTAGTGCCTCAATAATGTGTAATGAAATTGCTTCGGTGGAACCAAAAGATCAATAATTTGAAATTTTCTTACTTGAATAGGGCCAGCAGCTATCAATGAGCTCTCAATGCAACCTCCAAAAACCCTCCCATCAGGTTTAGCCAGTAAAACACTTAATGTGCCATTTGTACGATGTGCACCACTAGCGCCACTAGTGTGGGTAAATGATCCAGATAAAGATAATATCTCAAAGAGGCCCTATATGTAGCAAAATTAATTAAAAAAAAAAACCTAAGTAGAAACATGGAAAAGAGGTGAGAGAGCTGATCCATACATAACATGCAAAATTTTAGGTGGCTTCAAATTTGCACCTTCATTAGTGAAATAACAAGACACAAAAAACTAATAAATAAGAACATTCCTTGTGCCGAGAGACGGGGGCCAGAAAGTGTCTAGATTCAAGACCCAACGTGTTAGGTTAATATATACAATCGGTATAATGAAGAAGGCAAAACAAAAACAAAACCAATAATCAAACCTTTTTTTAATTTATAAAATGAAATAAAAACAAAGAGAAATTTTTTAAAAATAAGTTATTTATATCTTAATCTGATTTATAGCATTATTTAAAATTGTGTATTAAAAAATAACAATATGAAGATTTTATGTCCAAAATTTTTTAAAATCAAATATTATTTTATTCAAAATTGTTTCTTCAACTAATGTTCAATCCTGTGTCAAATAAAATTAAGAAATTTTAAAATCTGGAAAAAAATTATACTTTTTTAACTTAACCCCATTTTTTATAATTATTTAAAATTGTGTATAGAAAATATCAATGTTTCTATTTAATTCAGGAAAACAATATTTTTTTAGATTTAGGTGATAGGTGTGAAAATAATAGTACATTAAATATTAAAAATAAACTAAAAGTGTTTTTGATTTTTTTAAAAATATATGTTTTAATTATTTTATTTTATTTTTAGCTTGGGGTGGGATTAAAAACAAATTATTTAGCTTAAATCTAAGGAATAATAGAGAAAAAAGTAAAGAAAGATTAATCCTAAAATAACTACTTTTAAATACTAAAACAATTACAATATTAGTATTTTATATTCAATAACAACACTCATGTAGCAAACCACAAATCATGTTGTAAAACATGTGAAAATAAATTAAAATAAAGACAATATCTATGCGTAACAAGAGTAATAATGCTAGTCACATACAAGATTGTTTGTACAAGTGTACCTCATATCTCAGAAAGCCACCAGAAACACAAGATTGGCGAATGATCACACTTGAAACAACACCAGTAGCAGAAAGTATGCAAGCTGCCCGTGGACCTCTTTGGAAAAATGATATTATCTTACTTACCACATCCTGAAAAGCATATAATTCACCTTTAATAGATCATAGAAATACAACACTGGCTTGTAAAACTAAGACAAATATGAAATTGAACGAGTTCTTTAAGGGTCTCATGTTACCTCCCCAGTGCTCACAGTCAACACATGAGGTGTGAAGCTTCCCCCAGCTGTTTCTGCAATATACCCACCTGCAAAAAAATAAGCATACAATGGTAACTTAAAGGCACATTGACAGTGGAGGCATTGCTTAAGCAGGTAAATCTAAATTGTATATTTTAGTTTCTCAGCTCCATCCCACTAGAAGCCTTTGAAATTTGGTATGTTCCCACTATAAAACAACAACATTAGAATGTGCCAAAGCATAACATTAAAGTTATCTTTTATGTTTGGTACATTTGAAAAATTAAAACAATTCCCAAAAGAGATTAAAAAACAGTACATTTGTTATTCCCTAAAAATAGTGAAAATAAAGAAAATGAAACAAACTATAGTATTTCATTTCATTTTGTCCACACATCAAATATGCTATTTGAGAAATTAAATACTGTTTTGAGTTGCTTGTAGCCGAATTTAACATTTTTTTTTTTGGTTGTTTTTTACTTTTAGAGCATAAGTTAAGACTAATTGTATATAAGTAAAAACTTGGATACCACATATCGAAAAAGTGTATAAAAATTTGATTAAGATAATTTAGATATATAGAAAGAAAGTTACTAAAAACATATATAATAAAAGTTGATTATATATTTTTTAGTCGTATAAAAACCATAAAAGAAGGCTTTAAAAGTACCTTAAAAAACTATCAAAGAATATCTTATTATAAATATTATTTTTAAAAATTTAATTTTTAGCCAAATATAAATCATAGTAACCGACTTCAATTGTAAGAATGAAACTTAATTTTTGTTATAGAATTTATGCTGATATGCGGCATATTTTATTATAAACTTTAAATGTTTTTTGCGTTACATGTGCATATTTAATTTGAATTGTCATCACATTATTTAAAAGTCATATAAATTTATTTATTTAACCAATAGTCAGTTTGTATTGGACCACCAATAGGCATTTAATAAACGCTTTATTAATCGTGAGGTGGCAACATAATATCAATAAACAATTAACTTTTTTTTTCATTTTATGTCTTGAAAAACTAAATGCGTTTCTTTTATAACATAAAATTAAAATAAATAATTAAGCAAATTATTACGTGGCAATGACTAATGGCGTGTTTGGAAGACTCTAGAATCGATTCCTTTAAAATTGAAAATTTATCAGTCATTCAATTTGTTTGGAAAATCATACAACTTTTGTCTGTTGTTTTTTTGTTACCAAAAAGATTTTGACCTGAGAAAATGGGAAAACAAACAAGTTGGAAGTTGTCACTCCATTGCTGAGTTAGTACTTTTGATACTTCTTCCCCACAAATGCCTAAAACTAGAGAGGAATGGTCAAGAATAAGAATGAGTTTGAGAATTTTTTTGTACTAATCTCATTCTTAGTATTTATCTTGACATTTCATTTTCAATCAAAAATTAACTCAACGTTTAGAGAGAAAACCTTTATCCAAGAAAAAAAAAATATAGACTAAGAGCATGTGAATTAAAAAAAAAAGTTCAGTTGAAATATTGAAATGAGGAAATTAAAGGTTAAAACTAAAATTTATCATCTTTATAAACAAATTCATGCAAACACAAAATAATGAACACGAGAAAGCTCACCAATGGCAGCCAGAATCTGCAGTTTTCCAGAACCACGAGGACGTCCCCTACTTCGCTTGACCGTGCTTTCAATAGCATGATCGGGAAATCCTGACGGCGCCGACACCGGAGACATCATGTTTCCATTAACGTCATATTTTCGAGGTCTCCCTCTTCCTCTCTTCACCGCTTGTCCCGAATTTTCAGTCTCGGACTTCGGTACGGTTACAGTTAAAGCATAATCAACTCCAACAGCATTAACAACGCTGTTGTTGTTGTTGTCGGTGGCGGTGGTTGTGGTGTTGGTGTTGGTGTGTGCTTTGGTTTCAGTGGGGGGTGACTCGTTCTGGGTGGTGCTTAAAGTTAGAGAGTCATTAACCGTATGGTTCTGATCCTCCATGAAAAAGACACCCTTTGAGATTCTAGCTTATTTCCACAACAAAGGTTAATTTGCCTTTGAGAGAAGATTGAAGAAAAAAAAGAAGAAGAAGTTGGTATAATAATGGTGGAAGTGTTGGAACATGCAACACTATGCACAAGATGCCGGAAAAAACCCCGTCTTTTAGCTTATTTTCAGTAGGAACTGTTCTCAACTCTCTCTATGTAAGAAATTTGGATTTTCTGATTTCTTTATCAGAAATTGTGAAAATAACTCTTCACTTGTTGTGCTGTATATTTTTTTATATTATTACTATGTGGGTATATATGAAAATAGGGGATTGGGGACAGTTTCTTTTTGTTTGTTTCTATGCCATGAATACCCTTAGCTGATTTGAATTTTCAGATAAAAAAGGACAAAATGAAATTATTACTATTTATTATTATTTCATAGCGTTGTATCTGATTTTCCTATTATTTTGAATTAATATATCTGGCGAAAGATGGATTCTTGCGGATTATGAAAATTAAAATAGTTAAATATTCAATGATTTTATCTACGTGGCAATTAAAATTTTAATTGCAGTGATTTAAAAAATTAATGATTTATAATATTTTATCGGATTTTTTCCCGAATATTATTAACTGTGTGAAAATATTGATTAGTTTTTAATATGGTATTAATTTTTTATTTTTGGAAAATGTTTCTCTTTGTCTTAATTGTAAATTATAAATTATAGCAAAATGCGTCAAAATATTGGTAATGTAAACTTCACATGGTGTGTTATTTTAAACTGGGGTAAAAAAGAACATCCCTTAGCACTTCTTTTTTAATATAATAAATCTTCTTAAATAACAATAATGTTTTATAGTGAAAATCATTTTATTCTTTTTTGAGAAAATTCATGTGTGCTTGGGAGTTAAATAAAAAAAAAAGAGAGAGAGAAAATTTTTAATTAGTATTTATAATTTTTAAATAAAAACTAAAAATGATAGACTACTATATATTTAATTAGTTAATATTTTATTTATTTACTTAAAAATATTATATAACTCTTTAAATAAAAAAAATGTTTTTCTCTGTTCTCTTCTCCAAAGCTCAACTCTCTAACACACTTAAAAATATTTAAACAACTTAGTAAATAAATATGTTGTTTTTTATTATCACAAAATTAATTTTATTCCTTTTTAAAAAATATTTAAATTTTTAAACAACTTAGAATTGAAAATTAAAACAATTTTAAAATACAAAACAGTTATAATCACATGTCATAACTTGTAATTAAAAGCTTTTATATATAATATTAATGTTAAAAAAACATCTTATATTTAAAAAGAAAATGTTAACTTAAGTTCTTAAACTTAAAAATAAGCAACAAAAATAATATTTTTATTAAAAATATTTGTTATTTTAAAATATAAAAATTCATAAATTTTATTTTTTATACAAATTTATTTATATATTTAATTCAATCTTAAAATTTAGAATTAACAAGATAACAAAATTGTCAGAGAAATAGATTGCAAAAAAACAAGTTCCCATGTTTTACTTATTAAAGCCTTAAACCAGAATCACCTGCAAATGGTGGCTAAATTTATTATAATAAAATATTAAAAGCGTTTGTTATTATTTTCATATCTTTATTACCATTTTTTGTTAAAATTTTTTATTTAAATATTATTAACAATTTAATTAACAATAAAAATTTATATAAAATAATTAAAGAAAAGCATTAATAAACATTTTGAAATGATAATAAATTCATTTCATAATATTTAATGATAATTTTTATTTGAAAATATATAGAAGTTTTCATTTTACATTTAAAAATAAACGAAATTTAATAAAATATTAAAAAAACTATAACAAAAAATTTTATAAAAGTAAATTTATTTTTTACATTTGATAAAAAAATTGATAGATTTATAGAACTGTAAAAAATAAACGCAATTTGTTTTGATATTTAATATTTCAATTATAGTACAGCTATTTGAGTTTGTAAAATAAAATATATTTTTTAGGTTAGTTTCTCTTCTTCTGGTTAATCAATGAAGTGCATGTCTATATATATTAAAAATCCTCAACTTGCCTTACCGAAAAATGTCATTATTTTAATTATTATAAATTGTTGTTTTTAATTTCTAAATATATAAAAAATAAATAATAAATTGAGAGTATGTTTAATTTCTATTTTAAAAGTATAATATAATATAAATTAAATAGAAAATTATTTTTAAGATAAAAGTCAAACATGTTCCGAGTCTTCTATATTTTACTACTTGACAATAATAAATATAGATAAAGAAAACAAAATAAGGATATTTAATTGAAATTTATTATAATTATTATGCTTCACATCACACGTTAAATATAAATTATTCACGCTATCATGTTTTTTGTATTAGGATTTTTTTAACCATTAATAAAAAATAATTGATGATACTGTTAATTAAAGAACGATTAATAATATTCATATAACGTGACAATTAAAATTGTTAATCCAGGCAGAAGAGGATAATTTAAATAGACAATTTAGTAAAGTAGTTTGACGATGAAAGGGTGTGAGGATTTTATTTTCCTAGCATTGGCATTTAAAAAATAGCATTATTTAAATTATAAAATAAAAAATTACTATGACTGTTTAATATAATAAAATATAAAATTATTTAATAAATTCTTTTTAAATTATTAGAATAAATATTTGGTTCACTTATTCTAATGGAATAAATGATTCTCAAACATTTATTAATAATAAATGGTATTTCTTTAATGTTTTGGAACTATGTCATACGAATAATTTTGTGTGAAGAAAAATTATTTAAAAATATGAAGTTAAAAATATTGAATTTTCATATTTAGTATGAATATTTTTTTAAAATTCAGGAAATTAATATTTATATGTTTATTTAATTAAGTATTTTTAAAAAATATTTTCATCGAAAGGGTAAAATATAAGATTCTCATAAAATAAATTTATAATATAAAAATTTGATTATAGTCTTTAATATTTTTAAATTAAAAAATTTATTTTATTAGTATTTATTTAAATATTTTTAATATTTTATAATTATAATTAAATGTATTTAAAATTATTGTGTAGTTTTATTATTTATATTGATCAACTTTATATATAATTAAATAAATAAATAAGTATTACTTATCATAAAAAAATTAAAGTATTTAGAAAAATATTGAAATCAAATGTAACATTCACAAAAATCATTGTATACTATTATTGATTTTCAACAAACATAATTTTTATAAACTAAAAAAAGCTTATGTACATTAAACACTCCTGAAAGCACGATTTATTATAATTACTAGAAATATGTTAGTAATATGATGTATGAAAATTATTTAACCTTTATATTATGTTAATTTTAATTAAAAAATATTTTATGATATTAAATATTATAAAAATTAGAATACACCAAAAATACTAAAATATTAATTGTTATAAATTTTAGTTACGCATTAGGTGCATGAGACAATTTGGTTTATAATTTTTATCAAAATATTTTATTTAAAAATAATTTAAAAATTACATTTTAAAATATAAATATATTAAATACTTTAATGTATATTTTTTTAATGTATTTTTAAACATACGAGAAATACAATTTTCTGTAGAAACATGCCTATGATTTTTCTAAAAAAGCAAAACAATCAACTAAAAAAATAGAAAGATAAATAAATCAAAAAGCAATTTAGTATATAACAATATATAAAAATATATAATAAATAATATTTGTTAAAATAATAAAATTTTAATAAAAATAAAAAACATTAATACTCATTTATTAATTAGTATCGTGTTGATATTATTTAATTATATATATAATATTCTACAAGATATTTATATTTTTTATTTTTTGATCATCCACTGTAGAGAATGTGTGCTTGAAAATTAAGTTGTATAAAAACGAGGGGAGAAAAATTTCTCACTAATATTATATACTTTTACAATTTTTTAAAATAAGAAATGATAAATTACTATATATATATAGTGTGTTAATTATTTATTTATTTATTTTAAAATATTATATAACTTTATAATTTTTTTAAATTTTAGTTTTCTCTCTTTTCTTTTTCAAAAACTAATTCACATTCTCTAAAATTTTTAAATAACTTAATTTAAAAATAATTATTTATTATTGTGAAAATAATTTTATTCCTTTAAAAAAATTAAAAATACTGAAAATGAAAATTTATGACAATTTTAAAATACAAAACAGTTATAATCTCAGGTCATAATTTGTAATCAATACATTTTTTACTTATAATATTAATGTTAAAAATAACCTATATTTAAAAGGAAAATGTTAACTTAAGTTCTTGAAATTAAAAATAAAATAAAAATATTAACACTGGTATTTAATACAATTAAAAATAAAACTATTTATTAGCAAAAAACAATTTTTTAATAATTTCATTTTAAATAATTATAATAAATATTTAGCTTCACATATTTTAAGGAAACAAATTATTATTGAACACTTATTAATAAGAAATAATAAATTTTATTTAATATTTATATTGTGTTAATTTAAATAAAAATAATTTTATAATATTTAATATTATAAAATTATAATATACCAAAAATACTAAAATATTAATTACTATAAATTTTAGTTATTGCTAGTAATTATGCAGGTATATTGCATAAATTTGTTTATAATTTTTAATAAAATATTTTATTTAAAAAGAATTATTTTTGAAATACTAATTTTCAATATATCTCTAAACTTACGAGCAATGCAATTTTTTATAAAAATATGTACATAATGTTTTCTACAAGAGAAAAATTAATCAAATGAAAAACATAAATAAAAAGTAGATTAATATATAATAATATAAAATAAAACACAACATGATTTTTTATATAAACAGAAATTTTTTCATGTTGATATATATATATATATATAACTTCATATGCTCACATAATCTTTTTAACTTGTTAATTAGCGAGCTTCAACTTTTTCTTTATTCGTGGGCATCTCGATGATTCATAGCTTTTTATA